TTTTTTTTTCTTATCTGATAGTCGAGAGTTCTCTAGGTAAATATTCTCTTTATTTCCCACTAAATGTCTCGAATCCGACTGGGTAGTGCTAATGATGTTTCTCTTGTATCAATGCTTACGGAATTCCGTTGCGGGCGTAAGTGAGCTGTTTGGGTAAAGTATGGGAAAAGGTTTAAATAAATGGGTGTTTTCCAGAGGCTAACGAAGTGTGTTGTGCCAACTGGCAACCGACCGACCGACCGCATTGCTGGCCATGCGTCGACAACGCTGGACACCCATCGATACCGCTCACGCGGCCCTAAACGCAATCTGTTCTGCATTGTCAACGAGTCGCCATCAATGCCGTCGAACGGTCGGGCGTCATTGAAACAAGGCTTTTGGTTAAACTCTGAACTGAAAGCATCCAATTGTGTTGGTAATCTCATCATCAATTCGCTTTAGCGTGAATTGAAAAGTCTCCATTCATCCTAGTCGCGGGCCAATGTTAACCAGTGGACCCTCCTTGCTCGAGGTATACGAGGCGTGCCCTTTCTTTCGTTAACAACTTTAATGAAGAACCATCTTACCATCGAGCCGACCCGTTTTGATGTTTGTTTGGAGTCCCGAGGGACCAGTCAATAGCCCCCTTGGTCCAATGATCATAGCAGCATGGCATGAATTCGAACGAGGTACTGTAATAGCTCGAACCAAAACCCTCACCCTCTTCCATTGACGACCCCTTCCAACATGAGTACATGATTTCTTGGTCCCATTTTCCAGAAAGGCGCAAAGTTAACGATAATCTGATTACCTCAAGTCTCTGTAAAGAGATCCCATCCTTCAGATGATCAAAGTATTAGCACTAGCGCAGAAGATGTTTCAAGTTGATTTAGGAACTACAAAGACGGTCGGTAATCGTAAGCAAAATGTCGGTCCTACCTGCTCACAGAAATAAACTGTGCCGGATTCCCTGGATTCCTGAGCGGTTCGACGATGAAGAATAGCAACCATGGTATTGGTAGGCTGAAAAGTTGGAAAGTTGCATAAATCTGAAATGTTGCACAAGCAGAGAGTCCACTGAACTCACCCCACACATACGTCGAAAATGTTGCTGCCGACCGAACTCGACACGGCCATATCGCCAAGTCCCTTTCGAGCAACAATTACACTGAAGTCATTTTTTCTTTCGTTGGCTTTGCCAAAGAATTGAAGCAAGAAAGACTTGAAGCAATGGAGAGAAAACAGTGGAATATACCTTGTAATTAGATCTGGAATGCTTGTACCGGCTGCCAGGATAGTTAGTCCAATTACCTGGAAATAAATATAGTTTTATGACTGCGAGCAAGTAAAGGAATTATTCAGTTCAAAGCTTGGATAGCGTAGTCTGATGAACAATTATAAACGACAAAGAGCAAACTCTTCCTCGTAACTTAGTCTCGTATTTGGGATGCGCCCCGCATTTGACTTCCATTCAGAATCGTAGAAGTTGTTCCAAATCGTGTACGGCCTATACAATGACCTGTGGTGGCCAGCCGATGTACAAGTCAGTGCTTTTATCCTTCCAGACGAACTGGTAGCAATTGAGCGACCCAGGAAGTATGGAAAGCTTGGTTGACATTAGCGGGCATCAACAAGAAATTCGTATCCTGGGCCATGCATGCGTCCGTGGTAATGCACCTTTTGCCCCTACACTACCTCTTCCCATGAGGAGTAATGTAACTAGATAAAGTTAGTGGCGTTTGTATTTGACAACTTCCCTTCCGCAAGAATCGAGGTAAGTTGAGTTCACTTCAAAATAAGCAGAAGTTTGAGAACCTACAGAAAATTCCCTTCATTTTAACGGTTCTATAACCACTTTTGTCTCCTTGTTGTACGGCTTCCAATTTGAAGAAAAATTCGTCAGAGTCGTCAAAGAATAAGTTTTTGAAGGGGTGCTTTAAAGGAAGGACAGCAAGAAAATGGTTCGTTAAGCCCAAGTTCGGTCATTAAATGCCCAAGTTTTGAGAAGTCTGTACATCGGTATTAGGTCGCTGCAAAAGTTTTGAGAGAGAAATTTTCAAAAACACAGTTCACGATAATTCGAGGGGCGGGAAAGCCCCGCTTTCCCTTCCTCGATCGATGTCGCGTTAGACGAGTGTCGAAACAATACAGATCGCAACTATTCTAGGACCGTTCTAGGACCCACACACAATCAGCTGATCGCCG